AACCCCTGACATTCTGTGATTCTGTGAGATAGTACTCTGGTCACCAAGGAGTAATGAAAAGCAGTTCTTTAAAATGATTTTGCAAAAGACCCTAGATCTTGTGTTCTTTTGTGTGCACAAAGAAAGCCTGAAACATTTTTTTTTCACATTCTCTCTCCACACATGGTCCGTTAGCGTTTTGTTTTGCTTTCTTACTATTTTTCACATGATACATACATCGTTTATAATTACTTTTTGTCTCAGGGCTGTAAGCAGGGGTGGAGACTTAAAGGCCCAAAGAATACAGACTAAAAATCAATACTGAGGAAGGGAAATGACCTTTAAGCAGGCTAATTATAATTGATTTGTCTGTGAAAAAAACCCAAATCTATTTTCCTCTTTTTTTGGATAAAAATTCCCCTGTTAAAATATCATTATCTTAACTCTACAGCGAAGGTTGTGAAAACTTTAACTCCAGTTCTCTTTGATAGATTATGCCCAAATATCTAGGCACCACGAACAAGGACCGTTTATTAGCAATGGACAATAGATTGACACTGTATCACTCTGAATGTGTGAGCAATACCCAGTGCTACCAAAATTATTAGACATGATACTGCAGCATTACTGCTGCAACAGTAGTGGTACCCAGCTCTGTATTTACACTAGGCAGCCATGCCCAGCCCCTACAGATCCCCAGAGCTAGGAGAGGACGATTCCCGTGTCTCCGCTCAGGTGGTGGGAAGGCTGGAGGATTCGCCTTCCCTCCCTCCAGGTGAGAACTCTCCCCGCCCTCTGCAGCAAGGACCTAAGGCAGAACAGAGCAACCAGACAAAAGCTCTGGAGGTCTGTGAGTCATACAAGGGGGAAAAGTCTGCAGAGATTGTGTTTCAAGAGTACAGAATCATACTGCGCTGCTGGTGCACGTTTTCTGAGAAGATGAAACCCGTCTGGCACGCCACCCTACCCTGCCAGCACGACCTGGTCAGCTCTCAGGGGAACATAACGTAAAAGGGAGAAAAAGTGGAAGATGAGGCTGCTCAAAAAGCCCTGGTGGTGCTTTGGATGGTGCCACCACTTCAAGGTGATGCTGCAAAAAGTCTTGGATAGCAGGACTCCTCACTGATGTCACTAGTGAATGTACCAAAGCCTCCTCTTGATTTTTCCTATTAAAGCCCTCTTCTCTTACAAGGGGACTTCTTTTCTAGATCAAATTATTCCTTTTCCCTCTGATGCTTTAAGTGCAGCAGCAGTAAACTGGAGACAAACAGGAATGCATTATATCTGAACAGATACATGCATACTCAACTGGCATAGTGGCAATTTTTTTTTTTTAAAATGCTCTACTTCTCTTGTGTATTTGGGGTAAATCCTATTTTAATTTCAGGATATACAGAATTCTTAGCACAAGAAGCTGTATCTGTAGAAAAAGGGGACAGATGTGGAAACAATTGGGAGAATTGATAGCTTAAATCAGAACACGTTCATTCAGTTTTGAGGTTAAAGGTTCCTAGAAAGTGCAAAGAGATTCCAAAATGTTCTGAACGTGCCTAAGTTTTCACTGAAAGATGACAACACATACTGTACACTACAAAATCAGTGCCAGAATGTTTAATTTCTCATTTCTCATACCAGTAATTGTGCACTCTCTTAACAATAAATTACTATTACAAATGTATATTTGATGTCTTACTGTTAATTTCTGTCCCTTTGAACTACAGTCTGCTAATGTGAAATAGAGCCATTTGTTAAGAGGGGATAAGTATATTTGATAAATTACAGGGATTAACATGATCTTAAATTGGTAAAAGAATTTATAGTCTTTTTAATATTTATTTCCTTGCCGTTGCTGAGTTTTTGACAGCAGAAGACATGACAGTTATATAAATATACTTCAAACAGAGGATCTTCTCAGTGTGGGAAAGGCATCTTTTTGTTCTTACTAGTATTTAAGAACTACATTTTCAGTAATCGTCAGACCCGTGTTACCAGTCTCAAATTCTCTCTTGCTTCTGGGATAGCACCACCTAGTGACTATTACATCTAGTGGAAATTGCTGCTTGGCAGAAAGCACCTACACTGCAAATTCCAGAGCTAGTTGCAAGCAGATGTGAGAATGTGCTGTCACTCATCTTCAGACACTACACCAGAGATACTGGCAGAAAGCTCATTTCAAGTCAGGGTTACCTGGAAAGTGGCAATATGGTTTCCATGTAAATTATTAACTTGTGCATCAGTCAATAATCTATAAAAAACTAGAGAAAACTATATCAAGATTATGAATCTTAATCTGCATTTTTTTAGTTTGCTTTAGCACATGCTGAGCGGAGGGAAACAGGCTAAGAGGCAAGGACAAAGTATGATGGGACATTCACACAGTCACTATTCTTTTGTTTACAAAAGCCTCTTTGTAAAAAGTTAAAAGAATAGCATTATCTTTCTTCACTGAGCAGAGATGAAGTAGCATTGCCAGCAACACCTTCTGTTCTCAGCCAAACCTTTCATTTATTTTGCAAGCTGCCAAAACTAAACCTGGCAACAATCTGATTTTAGAACACAGAGGCCCCAACAAAGGATGTGAGTGCCAATTATATTAGACAGCTGGGAAAAAATATACCAAAATCATAAGGACTTGTAAAAAATAAAAATTACATAAGGGCTTTAAGCTATTCTTATAACACCACACACAGGAGCATATGCACAATAGTTTTTTTAACAGGATGCCCTCTACCAACTTAAAAGAAATACAGACAAGCTAGAATCTGTAGGGTTAATGGTTGGACTCGATGATCCCAAGGGTCTTTTTCCAACCTGAATTGTTCTATGATTCTATGATCTTCAACTACATCCTCTTCCATCTAAGCTAAAAGGAGAAGTAGATTCCTCATCAGATCCTCACCCGTAGCAACCTCTAAAAGCATAATTTGAAGGGGGTAGGATGCAAAGTCTTTTAACTACAGTAAAAGAACAGAGGCATTATCAGGAATCTATCCTACGTAGAATAAAACCAGATATTTCACTATCAGTTTTACATGTGCAAAGAAGGCTCCAACGTATGTTTTTCTCTAGCCATTCTTCTTCTATACGAAAATCTCAAAAGAAGTAGAAGGCATCACCATAGGCTAAGACTGGGCTACTGAGGGTCCAGAAATCCACTGCACAGGCATGGAACTGCACCTGGAGCCCAAGTATAATAAGTGTACACAGCATTACCTAGTGCCTGTACATTTACTTCTACCTAGAAATACAACCACCTCATTTGCTTATGACATATCAAATCATAAGAATTTTGCAGCCTAATACAATCCGTAACATTTTAGATCTCTAGGGAAGTTCAAATAGCAGGAGGTGAAAAGGAATTAAAAAATTTGTCCAGAAACATTGAGAGTTTTAGAGGAGTCAAGCTGAAGACATTGCAACGTTAGCAAAGCGGCGCAGAAAGTACCGGTTTTTGTTAATGGGCTGGAGAACAGCTGCTGAAGAAGTTTGTTCTCTGATGTTCGTAAAACCACCACTACGTCACCAGGAAGAGTGTCTCTGTTCTTCTCAAGGAATGAGCAGGCATCATATAATACCTAGCATGAGAAACAGAAGCAAAAAGTTGCCAAAAAGTGTTACCCGAAAGACTAGTATGTTCTTTAAAATATGAACAATCAAGACGACCAAGCAGACCAGTTGGTTTGCCTCCGACGAGCCAATGAATTATCTGCAAAAGAATTAGAAGTGTACAGCTATAGCAGCATCTTCAGAATGGGAACTAGCTATAAACAGCACCTGTATTTCTAGCACATCACAGTACGTCAAAGGGGATTAAATGGCTTGAATCATGTGTCACAAACTATGGCATGTGTGATGTGATACAACAGAGATACTTCATTAAAGCGTAAGTTGACAGTTCATATGTGAAATAAGAAATGGTTCTCAGGTGGTCATAATCTATCTGTTGTCTGCACCAAACTTGAGATCTATAACTAGACCTGTTGGAGGAACAGGACTAAGTTGCATGTGTAGGTACATTAAAATAGGCTTCTCATTGCTTAAAAAATGACAGTAGGAGAATAAAACATTCACCTATTTAAATTATTGGTTTTACTGTAAATTAATGCCTGGCTAATTGTATTCATATAAGAATCAGTTAATTTCGTTTAACTTTTTTTTTAAAAAAAATCACAGTAGTTTTTTTAGATCTCTTCTATTATTACTAGCAACACTCCTCTCTAGCCTAATTTCACTGAGTCCATTAGTTGACACAAAACTTGAATGTTCTCCTGCAATAGAGAATTGGCCAGCAGTGTTATTATGACTTGGCCATCTGGGTACAGAGTTTACTAAACTTGTGTGAAATTTTACACTTATTCTTAACATGCTAGAAAACTGGACAAAGTTTACTAGAATATATCTTGACATTTTGGAGTCTTACAATGAGCCAAAGAGGAGACTTCATTGATAACTACATAAAACTTGGCTATTTAATTTTGATTGTTTTTATAAACAAATATTTGGACCTAAAAATCACGAGCAAAACTCATGTTATGTGACACTGCTGGACTGTTATTCAAAAGAAGTTAGGCGCTACAAAGTACAAGAAAACATCTGTGCTAGCTAGCTCCGATGCTCTGTGTAGAATTTTAGGTTCTACTAGAGACGCTGTTTTGCATTACATTTATCTGTATACTTATATACATTCACACACAGAACTACTGTGGCATTCACATGATGTTGACAATCACGTCATGGGTTCTGCCTTCAGAGAGCTGCCCCTTTGAAATGATCGTAGTAATGGTGTTTCTGGCACCAGATTTCTCTCAGAATAAAAGGTGGTTATTGGCTACAAAATTTGTGAAAGAGCCTTAAGGATAGATTCTAAAATGAATTACTACACCTGAAAGCTTTGTTGTAGATTCTAGTTTTCTGTAAACTATATCATTTTGTCTCTTAAAATGAGGAAAAAAAAACACCATAAAGCACAGCCTTTGTGTAAAACAAATAATAACCACATCACTGTTCTTTGAACTAAATAAAAATCACATGACCTTACCTTTCCAGCATAGTGCTGAATACCAAATGACAGTTCTACTCCTTTTGGTCTCCAAAAATATTTGCACCGTAAGTTATCTTCAAATTTATCTAGACATTGAAAATAGACATTGATATAAGTGACTTAGAGTGATGAAGTAAAATCTTGATCCTAATTAGTGCCAATTTGCTGCCCAAGAAGCCAGAACTACTATAAACACATATATTATCAGATTGCTCAGAAAGCGCTGTGTGCCAGCTTCACTGTTCTTTCTTCCAAGCTGCCACTTCTGAAGGGAACAGCTCATTCTAAATTAGCCCAGTCTTTCAAATCTCACTGTTTGTGGATAGCTTTGTGCATGGAAAACTATCAAATAAGAGAGGCCAATGGGAAGACGTGATGACTTCTCACATTTGGCTATGAATTTGCTTATATATACATAGGGTTCAAGGTGAGTTTATTTCAACTACGTACATTCAAAGCTGTGCCTACATTCCATGTGCTTAAATGCCTATTATTAGCATCTTCCCTATCTTCCTTTTCCCACCCATTTAGCTTTGTGCATTACATTGTAAGCATATATTAATGTCTTCAGTCTGAGACTATCACTCGTTTACCTTTCGACTTCTATAGAAAGTGAGGCTTCTATCTAAAACCTCTTCTAAAGAAGCTTTCTGTTTCCTATACGGCTAAAGAGCTGACAGAAAAAGAAACACCACTTTCTAAGAAAAATGTCTTTCATGTCCTGTGATATTTTGTATGCTCTTTAATACTTAGTAATGAAATTAGCGCTTATACTGTAAAACTTATTATTCTACTTCTTTATCTGACAAGCCACTAGTGACCTGAGGCCAGAATCAATTGATAAAAGTCTCTGTCATGTTGTGTAGGTCAGAAAATAGTACAAAATTGGCTTTTTGTAATGCTAGAATCCATTAATATTTTGTGTTAGGTTTTCTGTTAGGTTAATGTTTAATCAAGCTTGTATTTAAAGCAAGAAGAACTAAGTCTGGAATTTTTGGGTGGTGGAGCGGAGTGTGGTGGAATTAATGACTGTCTGGTACATCTGGAGAGGGCAAAATATCCCACTTGGCTGTGTCCTTGAGGGAACCTCCTGTGCTGTGTACAGATCAACAGCAAGACTTGTCAGCACTGGAGCAAGCTAAGTGCCTCTGTGAAAGTGTAAGTTCAATATTCAGTATTAACTGATTTATAGGATCCACAGGGAGGCTCAGAGCTTTAGTACACATATGAGGACTGGAATGACCACAGCATTCATTCTAACTGTGACCTAAACTCAAGTTTCAACTCAGCCTAGCAGAAGTGGAAGATCTTGTCATATATCATGCAGTTTAACAGGCAGCTGTTAGTTCTTTTCTGAGTAACAGTCTGGGTCTCTGCTGTACATTCCGTTGGAGAAACTGGAACCTTCTGTTTCATATCACAAGGAAAAAATGCATCTCTACTAAATAAAAGGAAGACAACAGTTTTAAACATGGCATGCGTTGCACATTTTAAAGTTGGCACCAAGATTTGTTAAAATATACATAAAATATGCATGAAGGAAGGGAAATATTCAGCCAGATGGCACACCAGAAATAACACACACTTTCTATTTATGATGAGATAATTTGGAGTGAAGCAATACTTTCTAATTGGATAAACATGGGCCTAGAAGTCGGGGAGATCTGTATTATACTCTCACCACTAATGCTGCTCACAGGGTGGTCCTAGACACAAGGTTCTACTACATCTCAACCTTCCCTTCAGTAAATGGGCATAAATGCTGTTTGATGTACCTCACATGCAGGGACAAGGCATAGGTTATTTCCTTGTAACCCTGGAAAGACAGTAAGGCCTTGACACCTGACACATAACATAAATTTTGCGATATAAAAAGAACCAAAAACACCTAAGCAGAAAAAAATGATGAAGCACAATGAAAAATATATTTAAAAGGTCAAATGAAATGGCACAACCTCAGCAGTTAGGCTAGTAAAACTTGACTAAAAATGTCATTTCACCCTCTGAAAAGGTATTTGTTATTTCACAAAATTTTTGTTTGCACATACCAACTAAAGTTAGGTCTGTTGCCTGAGGAAATCGACTCTCTTCATCTAGTAGAGACAGGAGACCCATGGGTTTTTGGAGGAACATATCTAGAAGTGGACGGTTGTCCTCATACTCCACTGTAGTAGCATCAATTCCTTCACTCTGGTATTCCATCTACAAAGTCACCAGCACGGTTTTAATATCAAACCAGTAAAAGGAACACCATCATTAGGACATTTACGATGCACACCAGTACTCTATAGGCCTCAACATTATTTACAAAACCTCAGCTGAAAGATGCCATTATCTTGCATTTAAATCACATACTCATTTTGTAGCTTATAGTGCACTTCTGCAAATGATCTATGGTTCATAACGGCTGATTCAACTAGACCTCATAAGAGTTGAACTTACCTGCTCAAGTGCAAAGATATGTTGATTGAAATAAAACTGGATCTGTTCATTAGCAATATTTATGCATAGTTGTTCAAAGGAATTTCTTGCAAAGTTCTCAAATCCGAATATGTCTAGTATCCCAACATTCATCCCACTTTCGGCATTACTGCATGTGGAAATAAAAACAAAATTCATCATGGGCAACATTGAGTTAAGGTAAAAATAAACATGGTAACTAAGATTGCATAATTGATTCAATCTGCCACAAAAAAGAGAGGAGACAAAGTGTATTAGAACCTAAGATTGCTTGTGCATTTGTTCAGCGTTGTTAACATCGTGTTTTCCACTTCCTTCTTGCAAATCTCCCATCAGAAGGCAGGAGAATCACAGGTACATAGTAACAGACACTTAGCAGTCATATTAAAAGAAGTGGTTTCGATAGGCAGATCCCAAATAAAATCTACTGTTTGCTCTTCCAAGTCAACAAAAGGCGTCAAGCGTTAATTTTATGTTTTTGCTATATTCAGTCAGAAGTGTAATTACCAAGTCTGCTGCTGTTCCAAGCTGGACTGTCAGGAGCCCACGTGCCAGCTCAAGTGAACTCATACCACAGTCACCACTAGAACTGCAAGTATGGGGGAGGACACGTCTATAGAGTATAGTGACGTGTCAAGTAGAGATCTCAGATCAGAGGCATTTGAACATCACCTAAGGGGTTCTCTTGTTTCTAAAAATTTCTACAGCTGCTTGAAAAGACCAAAGCAGACAGATCAGTATCCAACAATGAAATCACAAGGATGCACAATGTAAACGCTTCTGTAATTACAAAAATTAAAAAAGAAAAAAAATTGTCACATCTTAAGTAGCAGCACAACAAGAACCCGAGAGCCATATTTATTACGAGCTCACGGAAGCAGAAGGACTGTAAATTCATACACAGCTTTTCAGTGTACTCCAATTATTTACCAGCCTTTGGTATGATTTTAATGTTAACTACATAGGAAGCATCTTTTTAAAGAATTGTACAGCACTTGAACCACCCAATCTCTATTTACTTGAGTAGCTGAATTCCACTCGGCTCTTTGAAAATGTTGGGGTTAATGTCCTGGAAACAGAATTCAGTATCACAGCATGAAAGCCATTTTGAAGCCTTAGCCAAAATAAACACAGTACCCTTTCTGCAAAATCAAAAATATACAAATGGATGAACCCATCAAAGACATATGCACAGTAAATACACATGATTCAGTGATGTGTAACTTGCCATATATTTTTATCTGGCTGAAGCAGCGTATTAATACGATTTACGATCCAGCTGAAGAGCCGGCCATAAAGTGCTTTAGACATGGCATCTCGCACGTCAGCTGCTTTGTCCACAGTGTTTGTTCGGATAATAGTCTCCCCTCGTGTTACAACACAGTGGGAGGTTAGGGCCTCTTGAAGTTCTTCTGACCCAATACTTAGTAGTGCAGCAGCTAAAAGACAGTGGAAAAAAGATACACGACTGTGATTATTGCAGTGGAAATTGCCAGCATTGCCCAACTGTTACCATGAGTTAGAGATTCTTACGAATACAATCAAGCTGCATTTACAGAACTGACAACGTTAAAATGTGTTTACCATTATCTAAGGCTTCTGGGTTTGGAACCTCACTTTTATCTGTTTGGTGTTGTGAAGAAATAGCAGCAAACTCAATATTTCCAGTATTTAGGATTCCGGTCAGAATTCTGTACACTGAGTACACTTCCTGTAGAAGATGACAAGAAGCACTTTTAAGGAATCCAATTAGGTGGGCACTGGAGCGGCTATTAAAGCTGGTAGCTTGTTTTGGGACCAAGTTCTACAAATTCAAGTAAGCTTCTATTGACAAAGAAAACAGCATGATACAGAACTGTGAACGGACTTGCCTGAGTACTGACACCTCAGGCCGGTCTAGGTGTCCAAGCGTGTGCTTTCACAGCACACTTCTGCCACAAGAGAGATTCTGTGGCACTGGCACATGGCCACAGAACCAAACGGCAGCCTGTGCCCAGGCAGCACTGGCAGTGGATTTTATAAAGGTCAATAAGAGCTTAGCAACTGCATCTCTTACCTCATCAGTGAATCCTATAATTCTAAAGCAATGCTGAATCGCTTCAAATTGTCTTCCATAAGAATCCTGAGTGACAATATCATGCATCACTCTTCCAGTTTCATTATCAATATATCTAAAGAGAATGGGACAGTACAACCTCCAGTGACTCCAATGCAAGTACCTCAGTAACTGGAAAGAACGCTTCTTTCAGTATTTTCCAATTAAATACTTTGATGCTAATTCATAGGGGGTTTTGTTTCTGTTGCACTAACTTTTGCTTATTTTTTGTTAATTTCTATTACAGTGTTACCAACATTTCACGCACGACTCCTTAGTCAGTACAGATCAAATGCACCCAAAGTATAATTATTTTTACAATGTATAATAATGATTAAAAATCACAACTCAAAAGCATATTCTGGGTTCCTACTGAAGTATTCCAGTAAAAAAATCATAAGGTGGTGGTCCTGATTTGAAAGTATGACAGAGTATCTACATAATATGCTTGATTCTTCCTTCTCCTCTTTAAATAGTTCAAGTTCTCAAACAAATATAAATAACGTAATGCTTTATTGCCCATCCTCCTCTTTGCTTGGAAGGATTAAAAAGATCTTTAAGGCACAGAAAAGGATTAAGAGAGATTTTGACATATCATACTGAAAGCAAGAGCTGATCAATAGCTAATTACAAGCAGTTAAAACAAGTGAGTGATAGTTACCTAGGAGGCTTTTTATCAGGAAGTCTATATTCAGAAAGTTTCTTCTGATGATAAAGGCCAGCATAAATATAATAAAATATATGGAAATTTTTCTCTCCCCTGGAAAAAAAAAAAGTATCCTTTTAAAGCACATGTGTTTATTCTTGCAGCATCTTGTACAATGTAAACGTAGAAGATCTTATCATGAGCTCACTGAAGCAGGCAGAAAATCTCCCACCTGTTTCAATAGTGTAGGATCTACAACTGTGAAACACATAAAACCAAACCAATCACAGTATTTCTCCTAAGAGCAGAGGAGTTCTGGCGTCCATTCCAGAAGAACCTGACTGTTCTTGTCATCATAGCACTGTACAAAGGATCGCTGCTTTAGCAGAAGACATGAAAGCATTTAAAATATATAATTTTGGAGGATTAAATGGAATCCAAACATTATATAAATGTGTAAGGACAGGCAATTAATATACCTACACAGCCTGTTTTATGACTCTTGATTTTTCAAGTAGATATTCAGAAATCTTTGCCCCCATTACAGCTCCCGTGGGCGTAAACATCATTTCCAAATATTTTCCAAAGCGACTTGAGTTGTCATTGATGGCAGTGCAGGCATTCCCAAATGCTTCAACCAGAGGATTCACCTGAAGAATTTTCTCTCGCAAAGCACGGTTATTTGCCTTGGCAGAAAAGATACAGATCAGAAGATCACTAAAGGAATATTTTGCTTACCTTCAACCTAATTCTTGCTTCAGAAGCATAGTATACCTTTCCTGTGCTCGTATGGACTTAGATACTGTGCTAAAATTTCTCCTTACACAACAAGGCCAATAGATTTTTCTTCGTCTGCAATTGTTCTGCCTCTGAGGTGTCATATAATTAGTTACAGTACCAAAATCACCAAAAACTAAACATATCTACTTAAGGTTAACCCCACACACTTGCTTTTCCCATCATTTTGCACTAATAGCATTAATTATAACATTTAAATGTAAATGTGTAAGAGCTGCTGAAACTAGAGCCACAGCAAGATCTGTCGTTCTTTACTGTATAAATGAAAAACAGGATACGTGATAAACACTGTAAATACCTAAAGGCACTGAACACTCCAGATCTGGCACTTTCTCCTTAAAAAAAAAAACTGGATGGCTTGGTGTGCATTATACTCTAGTATCTCACATGCAAGACTACTCCGTTCCATAACTCAAGTGGGACGATATATATAAAAATGACTGTTAAAGGTCCCTTTCATCCCAAAACATTCTATGATTCTAAGAACAGCTTTCATTATTAAAGACTAAATAAAATGAAAATTAAGTGTGGGATTGGGAGGATTCCTTCATAGTTTGACATGATTGGCTAAGAAATACCTTTCCCAAGAAGGTTAAATGTTGGACGATCAGATGGGCACTTTCTGTCTTTCCAGCACCACTTTCCCCACTGATGATAATGCACTGAACACATAAAATAAAACTGTTAGTACACAGACTTGATTTTGGGCTATCTGTAATTTAATGTTTAGTACCAAGACTACAAAATCTAAGGGTCAATTCCCTCAACTGCCTCAGAAAGGAAAGCTCAGAAAAGGTTCAGTGTAATAATTTACCCCCCTAGATTACTAAAATGCATCTTGCAATGCCTAATAGCAATGGGCAGGCATGTGAAGCACTGACTGTATTTCTAGGGGCTAAGACACATAACGAGTAACCATGTCTACAGGCTATGTGCACTGAGCACATAAGTTGCTTGTTTCAAATGCTTGAAGCTCAAAAAAATTGCAACAGCTCACTTGATGTGAAATAATTCAGCTGTGGATTTGAGCTCACTGCATTGACTTAATATGAAACAACATGAAACACAGGGTTCAACTGTATTTAATACACTGACCAAAAGCCTGCTCCTGGCTTTAGAAATAAATAACTGCTGCTGCGTAGAGAGCCTATTCTGCAGGTGACACTGATATTTAAACTAGAACAGCAAACTAGCATCTCAACATTTCAGAAAAATATGCATGTGTTCATTGGACAATTCTGGGACAGTATATCACTTTTCTTCCTGAGCCAGCAGTCCTTAGCACAGGGTATTTTATAGGCCCTCCAAATGGCTTCCAGACTCAGGGATTAGCTAGAACAGTCTAATTCACTTGGTCTCCTCCAGTTTGCTGTTACGCTTCACAGATGAGATGGATGTAGAAGGCCAGCACACCCTGAAGGCCAACTCACATGTCAAAACTGATGTGTGGACACTTCAGGTCATAGTAAGTAAAAATTTTAACAGTATTTATTATTTTCCCATTTGTTCATGTGTTTTACAGACCACCAGTTCAAATACTAGTCTACTTAAGGTACAGTATGAACTGACACATTATTAAAATGCTAACACTGAGCAGCTGCATAGATCTTTCTGGTTTTATGCAAACATCTAATTATTTGCACCATACTGTGAACATACAAGATTCTTCGCTGGGTCCTAAAATGACACTTCATACAGAACTGAGCTTTGTGAAAAGGTCTGAAAGATGTAACAGTTCTCTGTTAGTGTCTTTTGGTGTCTGAAAGCAGGTGCAGGGATTGACTCTAAATAATGTGTGTAAGAGGACATTTGCAGCTCATTTATTTGCTTCTTGTTGGGTATTTTTGTTCTTCCTGGAAATGGATAACTCAATGATAGATTTACAGGGTTACAATACCTAACTTAGAAGTCTTTGTGTGACTAGAGAAGTCACGTACAGCAGTTAATTAAAGTAAAAGGCCACGAGTTCTTGTAAAACTCATAAAACTCTTGTAGAATTGTCCAGAGCTTGACTTTAGCTTCAGGAGAAATGTTAGACCTGGAGTCAATTTTCAGGCTTCACAGGAAAAGATAAGGGAAAGGTCAATGGATAAAACAAACAGATTTGACACATTTTTGATGTGGCTACAGCGTTTATCTAATCACCTTTACCTGAAGAGCCAACATAACATTGGTCAGGTAATGGAGATAAACACGCTCCTCTAATCCTTCGCAAAAAGAACATAAGAAACTGATTTAGATCTAAATGCAAATTAAACAGGTATGAAACATGAAATATCAAATATGTACAAAGTAAGCCTGATGGGTTGATGTAAAAACTATTTTTTTTTTCCCCAGATAAGTTCCCACTTAACTTATTCTACATGAATACTTGTTTTCTTTAATGTCTTCATCAAAGAGCACATATAAGTTATTGAAGAAACACTAGCTATCTCTCAGGTCAGCATACTTTCACATACTCAGTAGGACTCCTTTTTTCTTAATCATCAATGTCCCTTTACTTCTCTTCCTCATTTGGCATTTTCTGATTGCACGTTTTTTTATCATTTTATTCTGTTTTTGTCAAGAAGCATTTTCTGTGAAATACCGTGTGCTGTGCAGGGTAAAATCAGACGGATTTTATGAATAAAAATAATTATTATCCCTCGATATTTATTTACATAGAGCATATCAAATTAGAAAGAGGGTAAAGTTACAATCTTAAGACTGTAATAAAAAGAAATCTAGCTTCTGCAGCCTGGTATTTCATTCTCATTAAAATCGTTGTTATATAATTGGATTTGTGTCCTTATTACATTTTATTAGACCTAGCTTTAATATATTCTACTAAAAAAGTTAGCTAATAGTTTCTATTTTTTGTGACTTGTAGTTAAAGTAATCGATTATTCACTGCTTGACAGGGTCTTTATAAAATGAAAAAGTAGTTCAAACCCTGTTAATCTGCTATGGCATCAGGACCTTCTGAATTTGCACAGGTGTAAATTATTACAATGTCTAGTGCAAGACAGGCTAGAATCGGTGTGCAGCAACACTTTGCAGCTAGTGTCAACTGCCAGGACTTCACAGGTGTCCAGAAAAATATATTGGTCAGGTAACCCTATCATCTTACTCGACCTTTTAGTCTCTTTTGTATCACTATGTCCTCTTCAGAATTCCCAAACCTGACTAGGTTTCTATTCCAGCTTTCCTGATGTAGGAATAAAAGACTTAAAGAAAAATTTCCCAAAGTACAACATAACAGAACATTACTCATAGCCACGTAGCACAGCAGCAGTACGAATAATATGAACTTTAAACCAAAACGAACAGATTCTTACCTGATCTTTGCTGAACGTAACCATACTTTGGTAGGCCGCATCCGCAGAGGCAAATATGTGGGGGGGATTTGATGAACGCTTCACACCATGATACAGCTTGGAGAACTAAATTTTAAAAGAACACAAGTCAAAATATGCAACTTAACTACATAGTTAAGAACTGAAAAGAGGATAGTGACTATCTTCTGCCTGTTCAATAGAAGGTATTTGCCCGTTTTGCCATAGAATTTCCACTGAATCACCTGGAAGAAGAGTAGTAATTCTTGGCACTGCCCAACTTCCAGAATGGAAATTATAACACCCAAAATACACTCCAATGCTTCCCACACAAGACAGTGAAGGGAACTGTCACAAAGAGTAGAATATCAAATACAAGCATTCAACCAAGGAAATATTCAACCTATACAAAAGAAACTTCGAAGATATCGATGAATCTGAAATCTGGTGCCTCTACCTGCAACCCTGATTTAGGCAGCCACAGAGACTAAGATTTATGGCTCTACCTCTCTTCATATTTGTAGGGAATTAAGCTGCCTCTATCTTTACAGTATTTGATTCACCTGTTTCTTTAAAGAAGCAGCAGCTGATAGAATCATAGAAACGTATCAGCTGCAAGAGACCTAGAAGATCATTGAGTCCAGCCTTTGTCCCAGCCCTTGAACGATTCCCCCCAACGAAATATCCACCTGTCTCTTAAACACCTCCAGGGACGGTGACTCCATCACCTCCCTGGGCAGCCTGTTCCAACAGCTGACAACCCTTTCAGTATAGAAATTCTTCCTAATATCTAACCTGAACCTCCCCTGGCGCAACTTAAATCCATTTCCCCTCATCCTATCACTCTCCACTAGGGAGAACAGACCAACCCCCGTCTCTCTACAACCTCTATTCAGGCAGTTGTAGAGAGCACAGGACATATATGATGGCACAGGACATATAACAACCCAATAGTCAGGGCAATTCTTCAGGAAGCAACTGACTGAGCAAGAGGAGGTTCATACACCCATCTTCTGTTTCCCAGAAGAAAACCCTAAATGCCAGACAAAAGGCACAGCTGTGGCTGGGGAAATCTTCATCCCTCTTGCGAAATTTGAGCCACCAGGCAGAAAGGAATGAAATCAAATAAGACCAAATTTAAAATAAAATTCAAGAAAAAAAGTAATTTGAAGATATGTAGCCACACTTTCCTGGCAGAAGAAAAGGCTGGGATTTAGTTTGCTCCTAGCTTCCAATATCACTTAACTATTGTAACCAGCAGTGTTAATGTAAAATGTAAAGTGAGTACTAGCCACAGCTTGGAATCTCTCTTACCTGAGGAGAATAAATGCTGAGATTCTGGAAGGGGTTTAAGGCTATTAAAATGTCTCCAACATAAGTATAAATCTGTAAGTCAGCATAGCGTTTCTGTAGCTGATGGATAATTGTATCCTGAGAAGATGACAAAAAGTTTGATAGTTAAAGAGTATTTTCCCAGTTATGAAAATTTTTCTAAATATACAGAGAACACTGATTAAGAAATACTTACTGTAAGTGTTACTAATTATTTTCCAAATGCCAACACCATAAAACCAAAACAATATTTTCAAAGTTCTTGCTAATGCCATAAAACTAATTAAATAGCAACTCCTATTTCCAGATTAGTACATATTTCATTATACCAGCCTGAGAAACAAACCTTCTGAAGAGAAAATGGCCATGCACATTATTGCAGTACTTCATAGTGCATTTCCATTTAATTTTTTGACCACGAAACAAGAATAATAATTTTTCAATGACTGAATTTTAAGTGGTAGTAAGAGATTGTATCAAGCAGGCCATTAGAACAATTGAATATTATCTTTTGCTTGCTGCATGCAGTTTAAGGATAATCAAAACAAAAAATCACACTCTGCAAATAGGTGATATAGTGAAATACGCAACTGATACTGTTTTCTCACTTTCTATCCAGAAGATGTAGATACCACATTATTCTATATAAATTCAACAATTTCAGGAAAAATCACTTCAATCTAGATCTTCATAACTAAACTTCACATTTTAAGAAACTCACAAAATAATTTAAACTAGCATCGCTCATAATTAAATTCTTCCACATAATAGGATTCGCTGCCACTGCTTTTACGTCACTATACAGAATATTAACAAAGTGGTGATAGCAGATCAGTCACATGACAACTCCTTTGCCACAGTGAGACAAAAGCATGCAAGAAGGAACTCTTCTCACTCTCTTAGAAGCAGCTTAAAAAGAAGAAAGAGGCAATATGTGAGGCACTATTGTGAGAAACTGCTACTCAGACAGTACATTACCTCATCTAGAACTTCTAGATTTACCAGATCGTCATCTAGAGAGTACTTGTCAGCTCCATCCACATGGTAAGGTCTTGTAGTATGTATTCGTTCATGTCTGGAAGTTTGTTAGTAGAGCATCAGTGTTACAAGACTGTATCGAAGACAGCAAACGTTAAGAGGTGATGGAAAGTCACATGTGAGTGTTTTTGTCATGTGGAAAACCCAGACATGCTCCCTGAAACACGTATCTTTCCTTGAAATAGCCTCTTATAAAAGCAATAGGTTAGCTTTCTGTCCAGTGTAATATCTGTTTTTCCTTTCACAATAACCCTACCCGTTAATCAATGTTTAGAAAGCAAGATTTATCTGTAGACTCACTATTCCCAACTCACACAATAAAACATAAAGATCCTCCCTTTTTTCCCCTTCCCTTCTTGCTCTAAGATAATAAATTACCACTCCATTTAATTAAATCTTCCCCCCATGTACCCAGCCTATATGCTGTCATCTAACAAAGTTAGAAGAAGCAGTAAGTAGTATAAAATCCTTCTGTTACCTTGGTGTATGCCAAAGTGCCTCCTCAGATGACCCTAGATCTGGCCCAAAACAACATTTTTGAACCACAGCTGCCATCAGACTCTAAATTGTATGGGTGTTCAGTCAGCTTGTCCTCAGAGATTTAAGCCACACAATAAGCAGCAGAGACAAACTGTCACATAACCCCTTTATAATCAGATTATACTGAAGGAATCTTTGAAAATGCTGTGTATATGTTTTTAAACAACACATCTTGTTAAAACAGGGATAAGTCAAGAGGCTGTAATATGTCTTCCACAAAGGGGGTGAAATATGAATGCTGTAAGCACAAGCAGGCTTTTCTTTACAACAAACATAATCAAAGCACAGTAGGAGGACACCCACCAAGATACAGTCTGCATCCTGCTGAGTAACATTTAGCATTGATCCTCAATGACAGTCCTTGACAGATTGTTTCTGCTTTGGTTAACACATAGAAAGCAGGAATCACATGATCATACATCCTGAAACAACACTAAATATTATATCAAGCACTAACAGAATGGTACTGTGACTTGTCAGGAAACATTGTTTATCTATAATGGTGAAGGTTAACATGAAGATGTAGCAGGTCTTTTATTCTTTAATCATATCTTCATATACGCACGGAATCCTGCTTCAAAACTGAGCATTGAGGCTTTTGCTTTTTTCCCCTTTACATACACTTCTACATTTGAAGCTAGCCAGCTTTCATTCAGGAAATGTTTTCATATCCAAGAGCTATTATATCATCAGGAGAATTACTGCACGGAAAGCCTCTAACAAAGAGAAAGGAGGAGAAGAGCGTTAGCTATGTGTACAGCTTCACTGATAACCGTGAATTACATTTAAAGGTCCTAAGTTTTAATATATATTTTTATTTGTTTTCATTATTTATTTCTGGCTACTTGATGAATTTTGGAAAACTATTCTGTAATGGTTTATTTGAATTGTACCTAAATAAATCTGCAAACTGTTTTGCCAGCTAGGAAATAAAATAGCAGGAA